TATAGATTTTTCTTTTATGCCAAAAATCATTAGGATATTAAGTAAAGATCATGTTCCATGAAGATATTTTGTAAATTTCCGACTGTAAATATATCAAAACTTAATTTTTGATTAGTAATATGCATTGCTAAGGACTTCATTTAAAATTAAAATTTTTACTTTAAAGGCGACTTTCTTAATATTTAGATTTTTTTTGCACCCTCAGATTCCCGATTTTCAAATAGTTGTATCTCATCCAAATATTGTCCTATCCTAACAAACCATACATCAATGGAAAATGTATTTATTCAGCTTTCAGATGATGTATAAATCTCAATTTCAAATTGACCCTTATGACTGGTTTTGTGGTCCAGGGTCACATATTTTACAGAAAACGGGTTGCACATGGGTCAAAATTTTTGCATTTTTGAGAGGGAAAAAAACCCGCAGATAAGTTACATCAGTGTATAAGTCCCATTTTATTGTTACATTCAATAATGTAAAAGTTGCAAACATTATAAACACTATAAACATTGTAATTCCCCTCACTCCACAACAAATCCTTTAAATTTATTGGTTTTCAGAACAGAACAGGAATGAAAAATATAAGTATAAAAAAACATACATTTATTATCAAGCCCAAAACAAATTTATTTAAAATAAAACTGAAACTACCGGGCTGATATATGGTACTGTAAATGCACCATTAAAAATGCTCAGGTACCTCTTTCATTCGGCACAAATCTAAGTGTGTGCATTTTGCGCAACTTTTGCGTGCTTGATGTTAATTGCTTTAATATTAAGTCACTTTAGAATATAAATCACAGTGCTTTTCAGGTGATAAAAAAACTATATTCCATAAAATAGGGTATTCCTTTAAAACAAGTTGTTAATATCCAAAAACAAGCACTAGCACATGACCAATGTTATTTATTGTTGAATTTCCATCATACAGCTACATTGTGATATATACCGTTACCGTGATATTGGTTTTCTTACACAGTGATTTACGATTTTAGTCATACCGTCCATTTCCAGTGAACTAATGTGTCCATTTCCCTTACAACTTTAACAGAGAAATGCGCAGCATGGGTCAGCAGCGAGATGTGTATATTCCGAAAGCTTAATTCATTAATTTGCTGTTTGCTATCCGTCAGTCACCCGGAATAATCCGTTGGGAGGGGCCAGTGCGCTTTCCTACGCCGAGTGAAAATTGGATTTTGGATGAGCGATCGCGCGGCTTAAACTTCCACCAGCTCGCTGTCTATTAAGTGCACCCCCCACGTCACGCACACACACACACTCGCAACCCAGAACCAATCTAGAGCCACGACAAACACACACAAATATACATCCTCGAGTTTTAAGAGTTACAAGCCGAATTCAAACGCACACGTATGCAGCCACTGTGACACGGTGCATGTAGTATTACCTACAGCAATCCTGTGCTTGAGAAAAGCCGACTGAGCAAACACAGTCAGCATAATCACCAGAGAGAAAGACACGTACACACCTCTGACTCGAAGGAAATGAGCTGGAATTTGGAGCATTGTGCCCACATGGGGAGAGGAAGATCTGGAGAGAGAGGGATGTGGGGAGGATTGATGGGTAGGGAAAAAAAGTCAAGAAGAACAGAAACGAGAGCACTGGGGAGACCAAGACAATTCTCGCTGAGATGTTGATGGCGAGATGCTGGAGTTTACTCATCCAATCACGAATGTGTGGGCAGAGAGAGGGAGACAGTGTGTGCTTCATCAGAGGTGCTTGATGTCACTTAGTAATAATAACGCTCTGTGTGTGTGTTTCAGCTCCTCTGACTGAAGAGCCCCCCAGGATTCTCTTTCCCTCTGAAAACAAGCTCCTCACCATGGATGTGCAGCTCGGTAAGAACAGCTTCTGCTTGTGTACATGTGTGTTGGGAGGAGAGGAGGGGAGGGGAGGGGAGGGGGGTTGTTCATAATGCCATGTACTATTTTTGTAAGAACGTAGTATGTAATATGCTGTGCGCAGTATGCAAATTTTCTGAATGCATGGATTACCCGGATGACCTGCTACATTTGTTGAAATGTGCAGTGTAGAACCACAGCACACTGCGTGGAATAGTGTATCCCATGATGCACTGCACTCGACTTGACCATCTATTTGCAGGGTGACAAAAGAACCGGAGGCGATATCAATCATGGTTTTTCACAATTTGTCTGGTTGACCCATTTTTTGAAGGGTCTGCCAAAATGTTTGCACAAACCTGGATTACAAAATGGAAATAAAAAGAATGCTCACTAAATTAAAGGTTCAAACAGTTGCACTATTGTAGCCAAAGTGTTTCTGAATGAAATCCACTTTCTTGTCATATCACTCGCATCTTAAATAATCAAGTGCCGAGTGCATTATTCGTGTTATTTTTTTGTTTTGTTTTTAGGGGCAGTAGTGGCCAGTGGTGCTTCTGCCAGTGGATATACACTATGTCAATGTACATTATCATTTTAAAGTTTGGGGTCAGTGATTTTGTTTTTTGTTTTTGTTTTTTTAATTTTAAAAGTTTTTGAAAGTCTCTTATGCTACCCAAAGCAAATATTTCATCGCAATATGTTTTCTCATTTAATATATTTAAAAAAGTAATTTTCAACAGCCTGCAGTATTTAAAAATACTAATATTGTCTGTTATTGTCAATGTTGAAAACAGCTTTGCTGCTTGATATTTTTGTAGAAACTATGATAGTTTTTTTTTATTCTTTGATGAAAAGAAAGGTTAAAAGAGCAATATTTATTTAAAATTGAAATCTTCTGTAACAATGTAAGTCTTTGCTGTCATTTTTATCAATTTAATGCATCGTTGATATATACGTTTCTTTCACACAAAAAAAAAAATAATAAATCTTACCCTTAATTTTTGAAAGGCACTGTGTATACACATAGACACATAGAAAGACACATAGTTTAATGTACCAGTTCTACATAAGTCAGTGCTATTTGATGCCATTAAAGTTTGCATCAAATAGCGCTGACAATAATGTTTTGTTTGGCATATTGCTTATGGAAAGCTAGCAGTAAATTGAATACTACTTTAAAGAGATGTTTGTGAACATTTTTTATTGATCATGGCAGTAATTAATTCATCAAATAATGATGAATGATGATGAAGAGCGTTATAACCGGGCATATATCCAGGTGTTTGGTGCAGCAGAATGCACTTTTGGCATTTTAAAGAGCCAATTGCTCTACAGTCCCAGCAAAAAAAAAACAGTCGTGGTATAGCAACAGCAGAAAGCGCATGCAAATAATGGGCACAATTCACTTTTAATCCAGGAATTTTCCTCTTATTACAGTGAAACACTGTGTGCTGTCTTTTTGAAATACTGTAATAGGCATTATGCAGTATACTGCAGAGTAAGCAGTACGGTAGTATTCTATTCCAAACAGCCGATGTGGTTCAGGCATTTGAATTGTGTTTGTGCAAGGAATTGTCTAAGTAAAAAGAGAGTCATTGTATTGGATTTACTCTCAAAAACACAAGCAAAAACAGTTAAAAAAATGGGTGAACTGTTTTTGTTATTAAAAAGACGTCAAACTGTTACTAAAAGAGACTCATCAAGAATGTTTAAACTCATGCCATGCAGTTATGCACTAACTCGGCAGCAGCAGCATTTGCGTATGTGTGTGTGTGTGTGTGTTAACGCTTGAGAAAGGAGTTCCCCTGCTTGACAGATAGCTGCTATAGTCAGCATTATGATCCTATGTTGTTTACGCTCTGAATGGAAGTCGTTCTCATAAATGCAAATCCTCTATGCTAATTATCTGCTGTTGTCTCCCAACAATAGCCGCTCCATATGGTGCCGAAACATTCAGTGGGCCTTCTTTTGGATTTCGCTGTGCGTGTGTGTGTTGATCCGAGCTCCTTGTGCATGTTAACACACGCATACCGTCCACTTTAATATATGTAACGGACTGAGATGTGCTTGTTCGCGCATGTGCGCTAGTCTGTTAGCGTGTGCATTGAACTGAACCGTGTGTGTGTATGTGTGGATGGAGCCGCGTCTGTTTGTTTGGCGGAGACTCTGGATCCAGGCATGTTGGAAACAGGAGCAGATTGGAGCATATTGTGGCGGCTCTGACCATGTTCTGCCTTCAGAATGAGCAGAGAGAGAGCAGGACACCACTCATCGACTAGAGACACACTTGACCACATGATGAGTAATTTTTAGGATTAGACGGCGTGAGCGTTGTGGGCTGCTTAGCTGAATAATAGAACCCAGTAGAGTTGGACTTTGTCGTGTTGTGTTCAGTTTCATCTCTCATTCTCAATTCAGTTGAAAAACTACATTTTTGTATTTCTAAATACTTTGCAGAATCATGAGAACCTAAATAGAATTTTAATTTAATCACTATTGTAGTGAATAAGTGATATAAAATCTTTTCTCAGTAAATTATGCCGTCTTAGACTTATAATGACACCTGGTGGCAAGGATGTAGCATCATTTAAAGATTTTCAGTCAATTGTTCTTATTCGACTTATTCTGTGAGTACAAGTATATGATAATTGCACGGTGGCCGAGAGAGCTCAACACGCTGCAACTTCAGAAAACACATGCAAATAGAAAAAGCACCAGCAAATTAAGAAAACATCTTCATCAGTTTGGCAGCACATGTGCAAATGCTCACAACACAAACAAACAAAGAAACGCGCAAGTAGCACAGACCACATTAAAATTACCCCAGCAAAATGAAAATGAACCATGTTTTTTATTGATTACCATTTTTACTACAGTTCAACTACAGTGGAAATGAGAGAGCAATTTTGAAGGAAAGAAGAGCATTAAGGAACATGCAAGGAGGTTCTGAGAGATGAAGACAGAATTCTGAGCTGGGGGAAGAATATTTAATGCTTTTAGAACGTTTCAGGAGGGAATCGCTCCTTGCTGAGCACTTCCTGCAGAAATCTTATTGGACACGCACAGATACAGACACACACACACATGCAAACTTAAACACATACCGTTTTATAAGTATATAGCAGGTAAGAGGATATTGCTGGACTAATACTAGTTATTTCCAGCATTTGTTGATGCTACTGTGTAATACTATGTGATATGTATGATGTATATGGTCATTACTTGCTATAAACATGCTTATTATGAGAGATGAGCTATTGAAATCATTTTTCATGCTCCCTGCCATAGACTCGGAACAGATGATGATGTGAGAGGATGGGATGATGGGATGATGAGTGAAGGATAGAGAGAGACGGATAGAGTGTGCTGTGTGTGAACCCATCACATCCAAACATTATTAATGACAACAGGGGCACTCACACACACACACACACAAGCACAACTCACATATCGCAGACAAACAAAGAAAAGGAAAAAAACGAGTCAGAAAGTAACTGGGCTGACTCACATTCAACATGGAAAAAGGGAAAAAAGGTGACCTTTTTTCCTGTCTCTATGCAGTTGCCAGCCAAGATGAACAGATAGAAAGGAACAATGCAGGAAAGACTTGACTATTTATCTGTATTATATATATTGAATTGGACTGATGAGAGTTCATCTTAACCTTCATGTTCTGTATGGGCTCTTAGAGCCCTCAAGGGCTCGAAAATATACCAATAAACATTGAAATATCTGGTTGAAACTCCATTGCTTGTTCTAATCTTATGAGATCTGATTATAAACAAAATTTCAGCTTTATAACATGCATCAACCGTCCTTTATGAAAAATTGCTTCATTACTTTTGTTTGGAGTCTCAGAGAACTCGGATACAAAGCATTAATAAATGCAATGAATTTTCACATGCTAACTTTTTTTATGTGTACACCCCTGTCAGTTGTTTATTTTAATTTCTTTTATTGTATTTTTCAAAAATGTTTTTTGGAGGGGTCCAGTCGACACAGAACAGAAGCGAAATTACTGAAATGGATGCTAGTTAGATTTCTGAAAATTGTGGGAAAAGAGAGGGAAAAAGCTTCAGTGTACCTACCTACTGGATTGTGATTGGCTCAGATGAATTTATTAAATTGTTATTTTTATAACTGCTATTATTATTTGTAAATGATGAGTCATTGGGGCTTCTGAGTCATAAAAACAACAAAAAAGTCAAATCAATCTCAAATGAACATAAGGGTTAACTAAACATAATCTAACTTAATTGAAATGTATTCACTGTGTGTCTTTGCTTTGCTTCCTCACAGATGGCACAAAACGCACACGCAGAAACACACACGTACGTTAACGCAGAAGTGGGGAGGATTTGTGCAGAGGTATTCAGAGAACACTTCTTAATATTAATCACCCTTGCCCAAAATAATACAGTTGTTGCTAAGCAACCATTGGGAGATGAGGGCATTTCTCTAAATAAACATCTCAATTTATTATTGGGTAAGATTGGACACTGATATCCTTAAAGGAACAGTACAAAAGCAGTGGATATGTGCAAAAGCTGTGTTTCTGCTCTTAGGATATTGAGCTAAATAGCCTGGAACCAGACATTTGGGGTTTACAAGCCCATTTTCAGCTATCTGGCCACAGCTGTGGATTAAATGATGAATTAAATGATTATTTTTTATGCCATTTCTTGTTCATTCAAATCTAATCTTTGTTTAATAAACATTTGTGTGTAATGCGCAGTAGGCAAATGAGGGATCGTAACAGCCAATGAGCAGCAACTTAGCTATCCGCTTCACATTTTTGAGCACATACATTTTCAGCTTAATTTGAGAAAGAGAGAGAGCACAAAAGAGGAACGACTAGACGGAGAGGTCGCTTTATCTCTATTCTGAAGTGTTCACTTTAATCCAGAGTCCTTTGTCCCACATTTTGGGTCCACAAGGCCACGGTTTCTAATCATGCATATGACCCTGTTAGAGCTGCCACAACCTTTCATGTG